TTAAATGAGAATTAAAGATAGATCTAAACTGCAATACATTTCAATACAAGTGAAAAAATTGACAGTTTCACTCGCGCGTGTGTCAGATTTTGCATGCTTTGGGGTTCCACAAAATTTTCATAAATATTTTGGGGGCGTGAAAAAAATCTATGTTAAAAAATGGGTCAATGAAAAAAAGTTTAAGAGCCGTTTTTAGACCATCGATTTCTGACCCAACCTTTTGCCTGTTTGTTCTAGCGAATTATGTTTCTGTGGGAATTTTCTATATTTGTACTGAATGGAAACACACTAAAATGTTCAAAGACTATTAGGAGAAGATAATCAATATCCCATTATTATTCTCTATTTATCTTGTTTGATCGAGTTATTTTTTGATAGAATTTTTTTATTGCATATTTCAGTTCAACAAATCAACTTTTATAATATTGAGGAAAAGCATGTACTAAATGTTTCAAAATGAAAATTTGGATAAATAATATATAAATTAGTTTTTTCTAGGAGTGTAGGAGTTCTTATATAGTAAAGAAATTTAGAAACAACGTACAAAGACTAACAATGAAGTTCAAAGATCTTCAAAATTCTATAAATGGAACAGATAATTTAAAATGTAAAATTACGAATTTTATTATGAGATAGATATTATTTTGAAATATATCCCAGACATAATGTATAATGTGCTTCATGCTGGGGGTCACCAGCGACCTCCAAATCTGTAGACCATTTTGTGCGATTTAAATTTAAATTTTAGATTTATTCTTCTTTCAAACCATTATAGTAACAATGGTACTATTTAAAAATTATCAGTATCAATATTTATTTTAATTATGTATTTTACTATTGTCGCGTTGCCAGTGGCACCCATGGCGCTGTAGCCAAGCGAGTGCAGGTAACCGGGACCCCCACGGCAGTCAACATGTTAAAATAAACCTCACAAGAAAAACCAAAAAGTAGTAGAAAGAACAAGAAGTGACGAATCCAACCAACTTTAACATAATATCGTCACGAGTGAGGTATGTCGAATTAATTACATTTCCCCTTCTAAAACAAATCCTTGCTTTTCTGTCCAGAATCAGCTGAAGACCATTTCAATATATTTTTATCTTAATAGTCACCAAAAAATTCTAGTCCTCCTCAAAGCGAAGGAAACCATGAAAATATCTCCGATTTAAAATATTTTCCTTAAAAAGAAGAAAACCGCCCTAAAAAATGTAGAAAAATTAATCCTGCAGTGGAATCTTTGAGTTCAAAATAATTTTAATACAAAATTCACTAGAACCTCTTATCAAAAGCAGTAGCAAGGAAAAGGGGGGGGGGAAGTAAAATCATTAAAAAATCTTCCAATTTAAAAGATTTTACTAGTCTAAAAGGATGTTTCAATTTGAATTTCAATTTTTATTCTTTTCTGAAATTGGTTTTAAATTTCTTTATATTACTGATCAATTTTAGCAGCATAATGCACAGAATTTTTGGAAGGATTATAAATTTTCCTTTTAAAAATATTTGTATATATACATTCCAAACATCTGTATACAGTGGAATAGTTAACGTGAAAATGTTAACGAAATATCGGTTCACGGATAGGCAATGTCCCGACAAACTACTATCTTTTTCATGCATTTTGTTCTCTTAACACCAAAAGCTGACCTTCTGGAAATGAAAAAACAAAACACTGGCATGCTGGCGAGATTTAAGCGGGGTGTTAAATTAAAGAGAGTGTTTCACATGTTCGTAGAAAAAAAGTTAATTGCTTTGAAATACCTCGATAGCTGTGACCGAGCCAGTTTTGTTTATCTGCGGTACTTTCGCTTTCGTCTACAAAACGCCACACAAATTCATCTCTCATAGTTAGATTTGGAATCAGTGATGAGTGGGCAGTGTGAATAAAAATTAATGGTTGGCTATATGTTGCACTGCATAGAATTCAGTGACTCAAGGAGAATGAAATAACTTTCATTACACACATTCTCAAAAGTATCAGATTCTTTGGCCGAAAAAAGGAGAAAGTGGATATTGAACTGAGCGCACTTATGAAATGTTTGAGAAAGTTATTAATGAACTGTTCTACTGTATATCGGAAGAATTCGTTGCATATTTTTATAATGTGTGTACAGCCCAAATATGGCAGACAAAGTTATTTTGGAGTTTGTCAAGCTAAAAAGTCATGATGCAGATAGATGACTAAAAAAATGAATGCATCCTGTTCCCAAGTATCCGAAATGGGAATATCATAAAAAGTATGGACAGTTATTAAACGCACTTCCAATGGTGAAATGAATAACAAAAGTTGCATTGAACATTTGATGCAAAAAGACAATGCAAAGAAAATATCAGATTATTTTCCCAAAATCAAAATGTTTTGTTTTTCAAAACTGAAAATTTTTAAAATTCATTAAGTTTGGATGTTTTGTTTCATTGGTTTTTATTAATACATGCATATACATATCTATGTAATAAAATGTATCTAATAAGCTTAATTTTGTGAATATATGCTTTTTTTTTCAATATTCTTACACGAAAAAATATTTCAATCCTCAGTTTTGTGTTAAATGATTTTCACTGTATATGAATATCCCTTTCTTACATAAAATATAATGTATGAAATAAATAAATTATAAGGAAGTTAATTAGCAACTATGAAATCTTAAAAAGTACATAGTATGAAATTTATAATGGCAAACATTAAAATAGTGAAAGTAAATAAAATTTAAATTATTGAATGTACTTTATAAATTAATAAAAGTGGTTTAAAAATTTTTTAATTACTTGGATTTATTTGCAAGATTGTAGGATATAAAATACTACTTCAAATTTTCAGATTACTATTGTTCATATTAAAGTCCTCAATTGCAGTCTTAATCCACATAACAACCATTGTAAAAATCACCCGTTACATATTCCAAGATCAGCAGCATTATTTTTTTCAAAATCGTGCATAATATTAAATATATAGTCAAGTTGATACAAATAAATGAACTGTTTTTGATTTAGACTAGTAGTTTATCCATTCACTTATTACAATATTTCATTTTTTATATGCTCGGCTATCCAAATTTCAAGAGCTTTCCAGATATTTTTTTGTTGAGTTTTTACTATACATACATTTCAGAATTTACATCGTCACAATGCACAAACACATACTTGAAGGATTTACTTTTACAGCTAAACCGGAACTGAAAACAAAAAGTACTTATCGGAGATTGCATTTCTTTTTCGTCATGAAATCAAAGTTCATTACACAAACATGCATTCCACACTCACAAGCGTGTATGGAAATCTTAATACATTAGTATCCTGATAATTGATTAGCATTTAAAAATCAGAAAATTTAATGTAATACAACTGAATAATGTAGTTAAGTTTATACAACAGAGCATAATCCAGTTACAATTTTAATTATAAAGTTAGGTAATTTAGTAAATTTCTGTTGTTCACCAAAGCAATGAATTATGAAGTTCCTTGTATTCTTTATAATGAATTGCTGTTGAAGCATTAAACAACTGTTCGAGTTATTTAATATTTTGAAATATATACCGAAAAGGAACAAAAAATGTTTATCTTTGTCAACCTTGATTTGGCACGAAAGTCTGCAGTATGCTTCATGCCTCTTAGTTTTTAGCACATAGAGGCACGGTGCAGTTACGTTACTATATTCCTATCTGAAGTTAATAGCAATTTTTTGTATATAATTGTTAAATTGCGAAATGCATTGGACATTACCTATATACATTTGTTATAATGTGGGCTTATCGGAAAAATGTGGATAGTATAGTGGCTTGTTCGAACACTTTCGTTTTTTTACTGGCGTCGCTGATTGCGATGAATGCAGCACAGTATTGCGAATCACCTTCCAGATTTTTCCATATGTTAATGTATACATCAGCAGTGAATTATTTCTCCTCTTCCTCAAATACACTACGGCGAAAACATACCATTCAACTAAACATTTGCGTAAAATCCAATATTTAAATTGCGAAATCTCAGAATTACACCTAACCACTATTCCAAGCAATTTTTCGAAAGCGCGCGTAGAGTAAAGTCTAAAGGGGTAGGCGTTTACCAGGTGAAACAGTCGATATTTCCGTTACGTCAAAATTGAAAGTGGGGTAGGCAAAGGCCCAACTAGATATGTTAAAGGCGTTCCACCGATGTGACGAACTCGAAGAGGTTGTGTAAAGGCTACTATAAAGGGGAGCTGAATCATCATCCATTTTGAAGCTAACTTGTTGGTATTCGCTATTGGATTAGCACTGATTTCTTGACATATTTGTGGATCGATTCCGACCTAATTTTCAGAAAAATGGGTGGTTGTGCTGCACCAAATTGTTCGAATCAGTCTAAAAATAACTTTAGGATGTTTCGTTTCCCTAGAAATGAAGAAAGACGAAGAAAATGGATAGTTAATTCTCGTCGAGATCAATGGATCCCGGGCCCAGGAGCGTATCTTTGTGAGGTAAGTTCAGCTTCGTATTTTTCCATAGAATGTTAGAAAAATTACTCTTCTTGGTACTTTAAAATATGTATTTTCATTTAACTGTCACTTATTGACGATCAACTGATTTTATAAGTACAAAATCAACTGCGGAATGTGTATGTGTTTGTGCAGTAAAATATCGTTGTTTCTTTTGTTATCGTGAAAAGTTTATACCGTTTGTAAAATTTGTATCATACATTTCATGTAAACTTTGTGCTCAGTTAGAAATGTGATGTGCCTTTTTCTTTCTTTAATTTTACTGTACGATTGGTGATTTAAAGTAGCATTCTATGTTTTGATTCTGATGTATTGTCGCCAAATCGGATAGTTGGCGCCAATGTTAAAAACTGGATGGTATGATCCAAATAATAAATGATTTTGTTTTTTCTTTATAGTAAGATAAATATATTCTGTATTTTTAGACATTTTTAAGAAGTTAAATATTAATTTAAATATTCGATGAATCGTTTTGATCCCATTATTATCCTTTATTGTAGTAGTAAATCTTAATGTTGTATTTTTAACTATAGGTACTTTAAATTTATTTTTAGTGTGTGAGCAGGAAATATGTTTTAAGTAGTTTTACAAACATGATTACTTTTTAAAAATTTTGTTCTATTTTCATAAAAAAAAATTTAAATTTATCAGAAAATTACATTCTTAAATTAATATAATATATGTAACTGTAATTAAATACTAGTGCTTTTGATTTTAATGTTAAATTTCATGCATGCTTTTGTTAAATATGCAGGTACATTTTGAAGAAAATCAATTTGAATGCTCTAGGCAAGATGGGCGTAAAAAACTCAAGCCCAATGCTGTGCCAACTCTTTTCAATGTGCCTAATCCCCCACAACTGTTGACCCCACAGCGTCTAAAAGGCATTGGTTTACCAAAGCACCGTTCAGTTACATCCAATTTTTGTAATGTATGTGTTTTTTATTTTTATGGTTTTCATAAAAAAATATGTTTTTATTACAAATGGACTAAATTGCTTTATAAAAGAATCAAAATATTGAAATTAAGGCATTATGTGATAAAGCTGTAATTACAGTCCCTAAGATTAGATTAAAAAATTAAAATTTTGCTGTTGTTATATATATAATTAAGTATGTACTTTGTTATTATAATCATATATTGAAAATTAGGCATAAAACCTCAATTTGATGTAGTTTTTGGATAAAGTTTTTGTAGTTTTTTCGAGGACAGTCATACATGGGTCTGGTTTCTTCAAATTTGCTCCTAAAAGAAAGAAACCTGTATCTGATTGCCTTCAAAGTCAAAAGAGTTTAAATCAAAATTTGTATTAAACTAAAGTTGCTTTTTTGCTTAATTTTAAATTCCAGATAAATAGAGAGAAATATGTATGGAGTAAGTAAAAGAAATAATATTGAAATTAATAACTTTAATCTTGAGTAATACAATAATATAGTTATAATACATTGATTTAAATGTATATTTTAATGTCTTATATGTCTTGTCTGAATGTTGTTATTTTTTGTTTAAAGATTTACAAAACTTATTAGGATTATTTATATTATTTATTATTAAAATTACATTAAGTATATTTTATTTATCAGCATTTTCAGGTATCCTTACTTATATGTTTTCATAATTTTTGCATCTTCAGGGTGGCTTGCTGCACAGTTTACCTTTATCAACTGAAGCGATTTCTGTTGCTGAACCATCTGTTGTAAGTCTTCATTTGAACAGTTATTAAATATTTAGTATTATAAACTTTTTCTAAAAAGTATTAACACTGTTTCTAAAATTAAAAAATATATTAACGTAATATTTACTTATGTTTAAGAAGTATGAATGCTATGAACAGTCCAATGTATTTATGCTTTTTTATAAGTTGAAAGTTACTTTTAAAATGGTAATGATTATTTGTATTTATTTTTATCCGATCAGAGTTTATAATTTCTTTCACTTCCACATATTTCATATATTATAATTTCTTTTAGGTTCATTTGCCACAACCTTCAGCTTCATATTTTGGAGAAATAAATTTTGCTGCCGAAGTATCTGATGTAAATTGCCATATTGCACTTCTAAAAAATGTTAATAGTTTTTTAACATCTATTCGTAAACTGTACTATGTTTTTTTTAAATGTTTCCATATTCATAATCATGCACTTTATTTCATTTCACCAGTGGTTGCAAATGTGTACATTACAGTACATCTCAGGTGTGTTTGCAACAACATTTAGCATTACCATTCTGATTAAATAACAGCTGCTAGTAAAGAATCTATGCTATGTTTTCATTTGAGCAGCTATTAAATGTCATATGTTTTACATATATTAATGAATTTTTATATACGATTTCTGAAATATGAAATTGTTTGTCTTATGGTTTGCCTAAACAGCTGTACTATATCTGGCTGTTGTGCTATGGAATTATTTTTGAATTTTGAGTGTTAACAATTTATTATCTATTTATGAATTATAAAATGTTATGTAAAATAATTATTTCTTAAAATGAATGTAGTTTATATTATCTGTATTTCTAAATTTCTTATATATATATTTTCAGGTTTGTTTGCAAGAACAAGCTTCAACTTCATCTTGTGATAAAATGCCATCTATTTGTGAAGGATCTCATGTAAGTAGATAATTAGTGTATTATTAAATTGCTTGCTTATACAAAACGTTTCTATTAACTTTTTTTTGGGGGGGGTAAAAGGAATGTAATTAATTTCATCAGCATTTACAAATTCTTTGTGTACATTTCAGGTTTGTTTGCAAGAACAGCCTTTAGCCTCATTTTGCAATGAAATACCATCTATTTGTGAAGGCTCTGATGTAAGTTGATAACTAATGTATAATTAAATTGCTTCCTTATATACATTTAAAATGTTCTATAAAGTAATTTTTTGGTAAAAGGAATGTAATTAATTTCATCAATAGTTGCAAATTCTCTATGTAAATTTCAGTTTTGTTTGCAAAAACAACCTTTAGATTCTCATCTTGCAACCAAATTGTAATTAATTTTAATTAATTTCATCAGCATTTGTGAAGGCTGTGATATAAGTTGATAATTTGTGTTATTAAATTGCTCATGATTATGGAGATAATTGACCCTTGAAAAGCAGGAAATAAATTTTAAAAATCTATTTTTAAGTGAAATAAATTTTAAATATTAGAAAATAAAACAAAAAATAATCTAGAAAATGCTGAAAAACAATAGAGTCAAATTTAAAAACCCACCACAGTATAGGGAAAAGAGACCTGGAAGTTGCATTTTTATTTTGTGGATTTATTATCTGTTTAAGTTTGGCATTTAATCCAAAGGGGCTTTGTCCCTGAAGGACTATTGTTTTCGTTTTGTATTGAAACACTATAAACGGCTGCATCACTTTTCAAATTGTTGCCACCAAATATTATCACCCTGTACTATATTTAAAGAAATTATATAGTGAAGAATCTGCATAAATGCATGTATGTTTTTTGCATTCTGATAAAACAACGGTACCTAGAGCCATCAAATTTTGAATGACTTAATTCTACTGTGAATATGGACATCTGGAAGACCGAATTTGAAATTCGGAATTTGTTTTAATATATATATGTTGTAAAACTTTAACGAATTTTTGATTAACAAACTTGAGGATTTCAAAGCGAGCAATGGCAATGTTGTACAGAAAAGACACTTTTATCTCCAGCGTGTGAGACAATGAATCGGGAATTCTGAAGATATGTTCATTTTAAAATTATCTTGCAATATTGCTGTTGAAACTGAATTTTATAGTTTAAGTGTGAAAAACTTGATATTTAATAAATAAAGGTAAACACAAAATGTTAAAAAAAGGCCCCTTTTGGGTGTTTTAAAATCTGAAACCTTTCAGATCTTTTTTTTTGTTTGTTGTGTTCCCCCCTCTTTTGATGATTATTCATATAGATTTTTTCTTTATTCCAGGATGTTCTTTTAAGGAATTTTATAAAACAGCAGACTGAATTGATCTCGCTTCTGCAATGCCAGAACAAATATTACTGAAAGAACTTACAGCAACCAAAAAAAAAATGAAATTAATGTTTTAAAAAAATGGCATAGCACTGAAATTCAACTTCATGACCTTCAAGTACAGCATGAGGAATTGCTGAAAGGAGTGAAAACATTTCTTCAGATGACAAATAGCAATGTTGAAAATGGTTAACGAGGGAATACATGGAATGTAATATGATGTGGAATTTTGTTATATGATTTGTAAGAAAGCAGGTGAGGTAAATATTCTCTCCTGGGTTGCAATATCAGAACGAAGATAATAAAATATTATTTGACTGCTTGTGGAATTGGTGTCAAGAAGCTTCTTCAAAATAAAAAGCAGCAGGGGCAAAGTTTTGCATGTCCTGCTTTTAAAAGGAAGAAAGTAAATTAGAATCTCATCAAGAATTTAAGAAGTTTTTACTGTTCAGGTGCGTAAAAAAGTAGAGTAGTTGCCACTGAAAAATTGTTGCTTGTCTCTTCGAATAATAGTTAGGCCCACCAACAGCCGAATGGTTAAAGTTACTGAATGCTGGGAGTTCCATCTTCTGTTCTATTTCTGAACAGGCTGGCTGCATGGTTGGTTTTTCCCCATGTGTAATGAGAATACAAGCAGTTCTCCTTACAAAGTCCTCTACAATAGAAGATCTCATAGCAGCTAAATCGGATTTACTTTTGTGTGACCTTAAATGAGGCATCAATGTGAATCGTTTTGGCATGTATTAGGAATTTTGAATGAAACATTATTGCTGTTGTGAAAGAATGATCAACTGATGTTTACCTTACTAATCAATGTCTTATAGTATTGTAATGGCTTGCAGGATTTTTCATAATGTGATGTTGATATTTTACTCTTCTTTTACCAAATAAATAGAGATGTTCTAATCCGACATTTCTCTTTTGTACCAGGGTTATGTAATATGATGTGATTAATTTGGAGTTGTTTATAGAATATAACAGTATTTTTTTTGACATTCTAATAGAACCAGTGTATTTATTTTTACTTATTGCTTTAAAACAGATTTTGAATCAAGGCTACTTCCCACCCCTTTGAGTATGCACATAAAAATGTTTAAGCTATATTTATAATATATCAATGAGATATATTAAATGAAATAAGTCTCTTAGGTTGCTCCTTTAATGGAAAAGAACAAAATAAAAATTATTATACCTGAAAACAAGAATACTACTGAATAGTTGGCTAACTTTATTCAGATGGTTTTTTTCATTTATTAACATCTCCGCATAAATGACAATTATATAGTTTTAAAGTAAACCTAATATAATATCATTCTATATAAAGCTGTTTGATATAATGAAAAAAATTCAATTACTGCAGTATGTTTAATAAATTTGAATAAAGACTGAATTGCACATTAGAAAAAAAGCAACATTTTATTTATTTATCTTATTTTCACTATATGTGTTTGTCATATGTTTGTTACTAGAGGACTTTTTTTTAGATTTGAAGCTAAATAATATTTTTATGTTTTCCTTATGCAATTAATTAATAAAAAGACTGTGATTTAAGTATTGTCTTTGCGGTGATATAAAGATTGAATATTATGTTATGGAATTATCATTAAATATTCAGATACGTGTAATATAAGAGCATATGTATGTAAGTATTTTTCCAAGTGTAATAAAAAGTAACCATCAACAACAAATAAACTTATAAGTAAATTCTAAAGATGTAAAGGTTAATTTTATTTTATTATTTGGTGTGGATTATTTTAAGTTTTAGCTAAATAATATATTATAAAAAAAATAATATTTATGGAATTTTTACTCTATTAAATCTATGAATCCACAGTCATCTGAGCATTGAAGTATTTTATAGCATTCTACTTCATTCTAAAAGATTATAATTTAAAGGTGTATATCCTGAATCAGATTTAAAATCATAAAGTGTTTAGCAGCTTTTTCTGGAAACACACACAAATAACATTTTAAACAAATTTGCTACAGTAATAGACGTTTGATTCCATGTGAGCAAAATTCAATAACATATTAAAATAAAAAAACAAGAATTAAGATTAAATCTTGTCCTAAATTAATGAAGGTTGAGGGATTCCCTCAACCATATTCAGAATGTGGTTGAGGGAAAGCTCTTGTCAAAAAATACATTTTGAGATGAATAACATATACGTGTATTTAAAGAAAAAATTGAAAATTCAATAAAGTTTCAAAAAGAAAGTATTTTTAACTAAAAACAAATTTGAAATATGATATGTGAAAATGTTTTAAAACTTTTAAAATAATTGAATCATACGAGAAATTTGGCAATTAAAAAAAAATACGAGAAAGAATCTGCACTTCAGACAAAGAAGGGGAAAAAGCCACACATCTTTATAGGAGTGCAGAAAAACGCTGAATTCGGATTCTCTAGAATTAAATTTAGCGGACAGCGCTAAAGAGCCAAAGTTGCCGCTCCACACCTAAATTGCAACCCTAAAGCTTAGATTTAAAATGGCTGACGAGTCAGCCTGTATCTCTAGTAGCTCTAGGTAAGGGAAGAGGGGTGGAAGATCCTCCGAGCCGGGTACTCTCCATCAAATTTGGGTGCAGAACTGAGCTAAATCCTGCTCTCTCCTGTAAGATGCTCAAGGCTGTCGCGAACGACAGGCGTAAACTTGCGCTAATTGCCACGAGGAATTTCATGTGCTTGGGCTGACTATAGGTCAGACAAGTGAGCATTTGCAACAAGAACAAAATAACAAAGCTATGAAAATTTTTAACGGAAAAAGATAAAAATATTAAAATCAAAACTGACATTTGATTCCTAAACAAGAACTAATGATTATGGCAGTAAAGGAAATTTACTCACACAATTCATTAAGATTCAATAAATTTCTCCACAGTTTATATCAAACTGGGGTAAGATATAAGCAAAGTGAGAGAAACGAAGAACCTATTCTAATTAAATTTATCATATATGCAGTAAAAATTAATAGTAATATAATTATTTTTCTAAGGGGGAATGAAAAAGGTCTTCAAATTAATCATTCATAAAATTACTATAGTCCTTTCACCATGAAAGGTGTAAATTATTTTTACAATTTGAGGAGTAAAATATAATCATTAATGAACGAAATATTATCCGACGAACTTAAAAATTTGTACATACAATTACAAACATAATCTATCTGTAAAGTAATAACTTCTTGTCAAAAAGTTCCTGGGCAATAGCTCTATCCCTATGTACCGCAGAAAATAATTTTTCAAACGTTGATAAATATCATCCACCGCATAAAACATAAATATTTCTTCTTTTACTACTAAGAGCATATAGTAAATTTTAGTTTCAGAAAGCCGTGCTTCCTTTTATTCTGCATCTGCGGAGAGCATTAGTAAAACGAAAGTAATAGTGTTAATAGAATAAGAGGAAAGTATTAAGTCAAGTGGCCGCCATCAACGAATCAAGTCCAAATCAATGAATAGAAGAGTTCTAGTATGAGCAAAGGATGTTAAAGATGGAGAATTTCAGATGGATATTTGTGTTTTTATCTGGGAAATGGAGAGCATCTAAAAGAGTTGATGCAATTGTTAGGATGAGTGAGAACAGAATAGAAGAAATTTCTGGCAAGTTTTTTAATATAATTTTGAATTGTGTCTACTTTGAGATCACGAATTTGGAGTGAACTATGGCGCTTTGATAATCTCTCGAAGTGCTTTGAAGTTGAAGCACTTGGATAAGTTAAAGGTGAAGTGTGGCAGCGTGGCCCTTAGCAGTGATAATCCCTTAGCAGGAAAAAAGTATCACGCTGTCCTCCTAGAAGAAGTACGTCTTCGGATGACAACCATAACGTGGTCTACTATAATAACCTGTTTCTCCCCGTTTTGGCGTTAAGGCTGTTTTCCGAACCTTATCCAAGATTTGGATAGATTTTTTTTTTACGAGGAGTCACGTGACATCCGCTTACTTCTGTAAATTGTCAGCGTTTGACGTTGCGAAATTCTGTAATCCTCTTCATTTTGGCTTCAAATAAAATATTGAAAACAAAAATAGCATTTAGAGTTAATTTGGATGTAAATACGGAATTTACCTTTGTTCAGTAATTGAATACAATTTTTAAATTACTTGTTTGTATCTGTTTAAACTGGCAACAAGAGTGATTTCGCGGGAATCGTATCAGTCTAAATAATCATTCTTTTGAAAATTGTTAGACAAAATGTATATTAAAAGTCTGTGTATCGAAGGTTTCAAATCGTATGGAAATCGGACCGAGATAACGGGCTTTGATCCCATGTTTAATGCAATTACTGGATTAAATGGTAGTGGTAAATCAAACATATTAGATTCGATTTGTTTCGTCTTGGGTATCACAAATTTATCCCAGGTATATTATGTTCTTTTCTGTATTTTAGCTTAAGTATTTATGCTTTAAATTTTAAACTGTCATCGAGTACGCCTTTCATTTCAGGTTAGAGCCACTAATTTAAATGAACTTGTGTATAAAAATGGTCAAGCCGGTATAAATAAAGCGACTGTTACAATAACTTTTGACAACAGTGATGATACTACAAGTCCTCTTGGTTACGAAAGCCACAAGGAAATATCCGTCACCCGAATTGTAAGTCTTTGTATTATAAATAATATGTAGCAAAGTTACTTTTAGTACTGCCTGCTTAAAGTATAATTGTGTAATGTAATAAGTATTTAAAGTATAATCTAGAACTTTAAGATGCAGTAAATATACAATCTTTGGTACTACAGTCAAAAGTCGTTAATCTGGACTCGTCGGGACTTCGGCGATTCCGGATTATCGATCATCAGTTTAAATCTGGTAAGATGGCATGCAGAAATTATAAAATTAAAAATATGAAATCGTAAATTTTATGAAAAAAACAATTATGATATAAAGAGTATCAAAATTTACAAAAAAAAAATAATAAAGCTTAATATTTATTTGTTTATTTTATTAAACATTTCTTTCAGTTTAAGTTGCTTCGTTTTATGTGATAACCTTTTCTGGCTGATCTTTGGAATATGGTAACTGGTAGTTTGGCTACATTTTGGAGGCGATAAAGGTTACTACCTAGGACTTTGGTAATAATGTGAGAAGCACTCAGTTCCGATTACGCATTATTTGTGTGAGGAAATGAGAGATCATGAGATATGCCATGTGACATTAATGGACGAATTACAGTTGTTTAATTGGAAAAGGGGGGAAATCTGGAAATTTAGTATTTAGCTATATTCTGTGTTTTGTGAAACGTGACATTAATGGACGAATTACAGTTCTTTAATCAGGAAAGGAGGTTAATTTGGAAAAGCTTTATTGTGTGTTGTGTGAAATAGTGTTGATTAATTTTCGGATTGCATGGCGCTATGTAAAGTGAATTCTAAATTTTTAATGCGTTTATCTGATAATAATAATAGTTGAGATTGTGTGAAAGGAAGGATATTCAGTTTAAATGGCGGCAGAAATATGGTGAAAATGGACATTTTGTGAAAGGAGTGTAAGGAAGGGTACATGGTTTGCTGAAAGTAGTTTGAGTATAGGTGAAATTTTATTAATTTCTTATTACTTGGTGAATAGATTTCCAGTTGACTATTGGATTTAGGATTTAGAAATTAGCAGTAGTACTGCAGCGACGTAATGAAGATTCTGAAGAAGATTAGGTAAGTTAGTATTTTTAATCATTTGAGGATATTATTTTTATGCATTGTTCTAAATGTAAGGAGTAAACAAATTAAAATGGTATTATTTGAAAATTGTTATTAGCAATGATTTAGTTTAAAGTAATTAGGATTGTAATCTAATTTTTATTAATTTAATGTATGTGCTTATTTTAAGTAGTGTTTTTAATTTAATTATATTTTAATTTAATGATCGTGATTTTGTGAGTTATATGTTTGTAGTATTTTGGAATATGTTTGAGTAGTATACGTCGAGTATTTTCATGCATTTTTGTGAAATTTTTCTAATTTATGAGAAAAAAGCAGTGTACATGGATATAGTGAAGAGTGTGCGCAATGCCATTTTTATGCAATTCTGGGATGTTTTTTTAAGTAAAAATAAGTCGACGTGTACATGGTTTAGTGATATTTTAATTAAATGATAGTTATTTTGTGAATTTTATGTTTGTAGGAATTTGGTATACGTTTTAGTTGAAGTAAACGTGCATGGTAAATAACTTAAATATTTGACACTAAGTATTGTAATGTTTGCGGTATGAATTCGTTGGTGACATTTATAATACAATAGATAATTTAGAGGTAAAAGTTTTTGATATTTTATTTATTTTATATGTGGAAATGTTTCATATTTGGAAAGGGTATATACTTTTTTCGCGATTAAGGTAATTTCATATATGTTCTTTTTACCGGGTTTAAAGATTCAGAAAATTGTCATGTATATGCGTGAAATTTTTCTAATTTATGAGAAAAAAGCAGTGTACATGGATATAGTGAAAAGTGTGCGCAATGCCATTTTTGTGCAATTCTGGGATGTTTTTTTTTAAGTAAAAAATAAGTCGACGTGTACATGGTTTATGTGTATGTGTTATTTTGAAAAACCGCGTAAGAGTATAGTATTGTGCACTTTTTCCCAATTTTGCAGTGAATATTTGTCATGATTAAGCAGTTTTGTTAGATAAAATTTCTAGTATAAGTGTAATTTGGCTAGTAGATTGTGGGAAAAAGTGTTCAGTAAATAAAAAGAAAAGAAACATGTCTTTACTTCGTGAAGACAAAATGGCGGCGGAAAAAAAAAAAAAAAATAGAGTGTTGCTGTAGCAGAGTTGGTCGCCAAATTTTTGCCAAAAAATCGCCAAGTTACCATAATCCAAAGATCAACCTACTTTCTCTTTAATTCTATAAACAGACATAATTTCTTGTTCAGTTACAAAGTTCTGCTGTTGAAGTCCTATAATTGCTGTGTCGAGAATACCGACTAATTTGTCAATCAAAATTTTTTCGTTTTCAATAACCTCTCTGTCACTCTCTTCACTATCGGAAGCAAATTATAATGACGAGGAATTTGATTTAAATCATATCAAAGACAGAGTACATCGAGATGAAATACTACATTTAGTAAGGAATTATAAGCCAAATAAAATAAAAACATCTGCCCTGAAGATAAGGATAGTGCTGACAGATCAACTTCCAATTCATTGCGCGCCGCACCCCTCCCCCCCGCCACAGAGCAGCGGGAAATTGATAAACAGATTTTGGAATGGTTAGATAAGCAAAGGATTATGCCTTTATCCATTTTTTGCAGCAATTCCACTTTTTGTTTAATGGACTTCGAAACATACTTTCGCTTTGTGGATCCTTTACATATTAGTAAATATATATCGGAAATTCTATTTGACATAATCGAAAGTTCAAGCTTACTTTTATAAAATTGCTCTAACAGTCTGCAAAAAATAATAAGCCGGATCCAATTAGAAGATTAAGGAATAACGCAATCTGCAACATTAACTGAATTAGATAATTTTAGCTTAGCTTAGCTTATATCGTCCGTTATACATAAAACGCGCATGCGTTAACATATTATGCGCATGCGCACACGCATATTCGCAGCCGTAAAAGTCTTACGCGCATGCGTCAATGCGGCGCATGCGCAGAAAGTTTGTAGCTTTGAGGTCCGGATTATGAGTGTCCGAATTAATGACTTTTGACTGTATTCGGTTTCGAGGGCCGTAAAAGTCGCCAAACTATCGTTGATGCCAATGCTGCCAAAAATAATTGCGGCAAGAAAGGAAGTATAATAATAAATTACTATTTATGATTGATGTTTTAATTTAGATGAAAGGTTAATTTCATATAATATTTTTTTATTATTATAATTTATATGAAAAAGGCTAAACATGACTGAATGGAAGCATAAGAGTAAATTATTATTTCAGATCATTATTATAATTTATATAAAAATTGCTAAACATAACTTCCTGTAGCTACAAACCACATAGAGCATTCCTTAAAGGCAGAGTTTCTTTAAACTTTTTTCAGTTGCGACCCCCAGGATCCCATAATATTTACGAAAGTTTTGTGGGACCCCATAAGCATCGTGTAAATCCGACACACGTGTGTGTGAAACTGTCAATTTTTTCACTTGAATTGTAATATACTATCGCAGTTATAGGTCATTAACTTTAATTTCTAATTTTAAGACTTAGAACAATTGAAAATTTTATAGGTAACAGATGAAAAGACAGCGTCACGTGCAAAGCAAATAAAATGAACGTTTCTATTATAAAAAGAATGCATCAAAATGTTTTCCTTTTTTCTTTGTGTGTATTGTCTTATCTTTATCTATTTTCAGATACATTGTGTAAAAATAGTTGGTAATTGTGAAATTATTATAATACATTAAAGAAATATCAAAAGTGCTAAAATTTTTGGCGATCTCCCCCCTGCTGCAGGTCTCGCGATCCTATGACCCACAGTTTAAGAAATGCTGCCCTAAAGGGCCATTCACACTGGGGTTTATCTGATGTAACGGACATAGCTGACCCATCTCCAAAAATAGTTTTTCCCCATAGGGCATCAAATTGAAAAATCTGAACTGCAGGCATAGCAGAGCTGGTCGACACATGGAACTGACTCCGTTAGCTCAGATAAACCGCAGTGGGAATGGCTCTTTAGGATAACTGTGAAATTAAAAAATGAATAGAAGAATTATTGGTACTGTTCTGTTATCAGGACCGGATTCAGAAATGTATATAGGGATGTATGCAAGTATAAACATGTATATATATATATAAACACATATAGGCACATACATACACCCGTGCATACATTCATATATTTCTGAATCCGGTCCCGATAATAGAACAGTACCAAATTATTACATTCAGATATCATAAAACCATCATCTAGAACAGGCATGGGCAAACTTTTTCGGTGACGGGCTAAACATTGAGAAAAAAAAAGTTTAGCGGGTCAAAATAAATTTTTCTAAAATTTTAAAAACTATGTATACAATTTAATTATGTTAATGAGATTGCGATTTCATTTTTCTAAAATGAATGATTTTTTTAAACTATGTATACAATTTAATTATGTTAATGAGATTGCGATTTCATTTTTTAAAATGAATGATTTTTCTAAAATTTTAAAAACTATGTATACAATTTAATTATAATAATGAGATTGCGATTTCATTTTTCAAAGTTTCTTATATTGAGGTTCGAAATTAGATGTACTGATTCTAAGGAATGAGGTTAAATGCTCATCTGTCAGTCTACTTCTGAAGTAATTCTTTCTAAGGTTCATAGTTGAAAACACTCATTCACATATATAAGATGAAGCAAACATGGCACTGGTTTTCGGGGCATGAGAATGATGAATTAAATTTGGGAAACTTACTTTCAATAATGATTTGTAAAACTCTAACTTTAGCATATTTAGAAACAACTGCTTGAGATGATTGTTAGATTGCAACTCAGTTAATTCAAGCTGCAAATTTGACCTCACTGCTTTACAATTTACATTAAAAGGCATGGTAAAAATATCCAATTCCGTTTGAATGAAACAAAATCTAATAAATCTAATAAATAATAAAATAAAATCTGCATTTGAACTCAAACAGTTTTTTCAAGCCAGTTTCATAATTCTTAAGCT